TTGCTCTGTCACCAATGCAATGAGGCCAGGGCCAGATGCCACCTCTCCTAAACCCTCCCACTTCAGCTGCACAGGTAGACACCCATCCCTCAAGCTAACCATACCCATGCACTTGTTTTGTTGCTAGAATACCTATTGCCACCCCTGCCACTGGCACACAACGGCCTTGCCAGGTTGGCCTTCTCTGTTTCATACCATGTCGGCAGAAGAAGAGGAGGAAAAGTGCCCTAAGGATGAAGCAGCTGCTTCCCAGGTACCATGGGCTCATGCTACGGGCCAATTTCCCCATTCCAATCCATCCAGAATGAGTGACGGGGCAGTCACCTGCTGTTTCTTCTTGCCCCTCTCACCAGCTCACCTAGAAGTAAAGCAAAGATGGGAATCAGGGGTCAATAAGCTACTGGAGGCTAGGGCTTTGTGGGCTAGTTGTCTTTCCTATTAGACAAATAAACTTATGTGCAAGCTATTAATACCCCGTCTGTTGTGAGCAAACATTAGCAGTCCTACATCATGTACAAGTGCCCCTACAGTCCACAGCCAGGTGTCTCTCATGGTCTAAACTGCCTCCCCTCACTATAGCAGTCTGTGTACTCAGCTTCTGAATTCCCATCTCAGACGTGTCTGTGTTCATAAAGCCCAAAGTACCCTGGGAGTCTTCACCGGAAACTCTGCTATCAAAATGCAAGACACAGTCATTCCTTGGACTCAGTTTCAACATAATGAAATAGAAATGTGGCAAAATGAGCCAAAATGGGAATCAAAGAGAATTGCTGGTAGAGTGTTACAGGGCAAGATGAAGAGAAGGACTTTTAAAGTGTCCGGAAATCCCGCTTGTGCAAACAGTCACGTGGTTGCAGCCCAAGAAAGGGCAAAAAACGCGGTGTGTACAAAGGCCCACCTCACGCTGCCTCACCCATATACATGAATTCACCTGGAGGACCACAGCTGAGAAGGGAATTCAGTCTCTGTATCCCCTTCAGCCCTTGGCCTATATGAACGTTAAGAGACACCAACTAGAGCAGACAGTGGCTATTTCAGTGCAGACCGGAAAGCTGACTGAGACCTGCCAAACTCATTTCACATAAGCCACTAAAACAAGACACCAGAGGGTAATAGTTTTGGCTCAGCAGTTATTTGGGCTAAGCTCAAATATTCAGCTAATAGGAAAGAGTCTCTGCTCCATTACCGAATAGCAGCCATTCAAGCTGTCACGTATACCCGCTGATTTCAACCAGAGAGCCAGCCTGGCTGTACCCCTTCCCAAAGCAACCAGCTGTTTGCAGCCATCCCTTATGCTACAGAGGCCTCTGCCATGTTTCCTGGTGCACAGAGGAATGTGTTGCTAAGTGCCTTCAGCTGTGATCCCAGCTGGGGAAAACAGCAAACAAAGAGCAGGAACGAAACACAGAAACATAAATTCGAAGGGATCCTCATCAAAGCAAAATGCAGCCCGAAGACCCTCACCCTGCAATGTGGGCACCCAATCCATAACTTCTCTGCGAGCAACCGTGCAGAAAGGCCTAGATTTGATTTCAAGTGATGGGTTTCTAATGGGTAAATTGTTTGGATGGCTAATTACCCATTAATCAATAGGCAGGCATCTGTTATATAAATGTCATGTATCTGACCTCTGTGCTGGAATGACTCACAGAAATAAGCAGGCTAGAAACTGCAGCGCTTCTCCCTGCCCCCTTGGTGCAGAAATGTGTGATAGGTCAGACAAAGCCAGTGGAAACACACATTCCCAAACACTGGTGAAAATTAAGGGGTGAATTTCTTTAGAGAATCACCAGGGGTATCATCAGCTTTCTCTTTGCAGACCAGTACCAGCCTTCCCGAGAAAATGAAAAGCCAGTTGCTATGTGCTAACCTGCAGTTGGGTCATGATGGATAAGGACCCAGCAGCAGCAGATCTAACAGACAGTCCTCTTTGCTGAGTCTGATTTCACTTAAAACCTGCTACCCCCACAATAGCCTTCTACCCATTCACTGGACTGGGCTCTGGAGCTCCATAAGGCTTGAAGGCCTGGATGCATGTGAGCAGGAACAGCCTAGCAGCCCTCAGTTCCTCAAGGAAGGGAGCTGTGGGTGACGAGGCAGCTGTAGGAAGTCTGTTTTCACTTGTCCTTGGGCTTCAGATTCTTATAGGTTATGTGTATAGGCTCTGCCTGCTGGAAAAGACCCCTGTGAAAGGTTATTTGGCAAACAGGTGGGTACAGAATCAACCCTCCCCTCTGCCTTACTCCCAGATGTCAGGAACAGGCTGCTGGGTGAAGCCCCATGCACCTTAATAGCATACACCTATGCTAGCTTTAGGAGCTCAGCTGGGCACATGAAACCAGGGCTAATCCAATCCAGCTACAGACATGTCACCCCTCTCCTCTGAAATGTGCCTGGGACTTCAGCAAGGGCTCCAGATACCCACACCGGAGGCTTGACAGCAGTCACACCTCTGAGTGCAGCACAGCCTGGCACTCGAGCTTCACCCCCTGACCCACACACACAATCTGCATCCTTGATTTACAGATTGCTGGCATTGCCGTGGCAGGATGCCTTCCAGCCCAGCAGAGAGATAGAGACTCCTCTCTGTGAAGCAGCTCTGCTCTCACATCTGTCCCCCAGCAGTGGGGCTCCGTAGGAGCCACCCGTCTTGGTTGGGTGATTTTTTTGGCCTTTCAGAAATTCCTGCCCATGTTCCATTAGCAACCCTGAGAAAGTTTCCTCCCTTCCTACCTCTGTTGTTCAGAGTGGGCACTTGCTCCTCCAGCGAAACAACAGCTATCATTTGCAAGCTTGTGTCACAGTGGTGCTTGAACTCTTGGGCTGTTTGACTAAGCCGATAAACAAAACAGGGGCATCTGCCAGCTACCTTTGGGCTCCCAGTGGAAGCTAATGATCAACCCATTGCTCCCTACCAAAAAATAGCCAATGAATAAACGATCTGGCCATGAGATGAGCCCCAATTCTCACAGTCACCCCCATCTCCCACCAGAAGCTCCCACTAAAGAGGGGCCATTGCTCTTGCAGCAGGGACAACCAGTCTGAATCCCTGTACAAGTCCAAGAAGAGATTTCACTGTTATCCTGTATTGAGCCCAATAAATTGTGTTTCACTAAGACACTTTCAAAAGAGCATGCACGCTTCAAGAGGGAGCAATTGAACCTCTCCTGGGCCTCAGTTCCCCCATCCATGAAATGGGGATAAATATATTCCTTTACCATCAGAAAGTCTAGGAAATTTAACTCATTGGTGCTCATCTTCCAAGCTAAATCAGAGATCTGCAAGCTTGCATGACCAGGCTCACTTCATCAGATGCTGTGAGATACTCAATGAAGTCTCCTTGTGCTGACAGCTGCAGAAAAGCCACACAGAGTGAACGGATTCCCTTTTGCAGGCTGATTATGATCATAGGCAAAGTCCAAGCTGCCCAAAGCTGTGTGACTTCAGCAAGGCCACGCCTCCACGCTTTGCAGTCTGCAACCTCATGGAGAAGCCGGGTACAGTCCTGTCCCCACTGCCAGCCTTGCACAGAAAACAGCTGGTTAATTTATAACAATAAAGCTCCAGGCACGTCCAGATGTAAATGAACCGGAAGGCCTGGGGAGGGAGCTAGGTAGGTTAACGGCATCCTGGGCTGCATGAGTAGGAGCATTGCCAGCAGATCGAGGGCAGTGATTCTTCCCCTCTATTTGGCACTGGTGAGGCCACATCTGGAGTCCTGTGTCCAGTTTTGGGCCCCCCACTGCACAAAGGATGTGGACACATTGGAGAGACTCCAGCGGAGGGCAATGAAAATAGTTTGGGGGCTGGGGCACATGACTTGTGAGAAGAAGCTGAGGGAACTATGCTGATTTAGTCAGCAGAAGAGAAGACCGAGGGGGGATTTAATAGCAGCCTTCAACTCCCTGCAGGGTGGCTCCAAAGAGGATGGAGCTGGACTGTTCTCAGTGGGGGCAGATGACAGAAGGAGCAATGGGCTCAAGTTGCCACAAGGGAAGTTAAGGTTGGATATTAGGAAATACTTTTGCACTAGGAGGGTGGTGAAGCACTGGAACAGGTCACCCAGAGAGATGGTGAAGTCTCCATCCTTGGCTGGCTGGGATGACAAAGCCTTGGCTGGGATGGTGCTGCTTTGAGCAGGGGGCTGGACTAGATGTGACCTCCTCAGGTCCCTTCCAGCCCTCCTCTATGATTCTGAGGAGGAGGAAGGGGAGATGGTGAACAGGAGCTGCCACCTGTGTCCCTCAACTAGGATGCACTCTGCCTGAGGCAGGTGTGAGGGGATAAGGGACACCATGCCCAGGCCACTCTCTGCCCATGAGAAACCACAGCAAGAAGCAGGACTCTCAGCCCACTTCTCCCTGCCCATCCATCACACAAGGCTTCCACGGCTTCACAGCACCTGCAAGATGGTGAACAGATGCCTGGATTTCACAGACAGCGGCTAGAGGAGTGTGGAGACAGGCAAGTCCACAGCAGTCAGATCTGCCCTGCAGTCTGCTCTTCCAGGCCTCTTCTATCTCCACTGGCCAGAGCCGATCAGTAGTTTCCAGCACAGTTCATTGTTTCGACTCTTCTTGTTACAAACACAACCATCCTGTAATCACACTGGCGCCCATCTCATGCCACAGCTGGACAGCCCTGACTGGGCTGGAGGCCAGGGAAGTGGACACATACAGACCCCGTGCTCCTTGCCTGCATGAAATACCCATGGTCAGCAGCTCGGCTGCTTTGGACATCCAGCTGATTCCTCTCTGGGCTGAGGAGAGCCCAGGCACAAGTCACCTGCCCTCACTTCCTTCCCCTACCATGAGAGCACCACACCTTGTCCCACCCCTGGAGACTCCTCTCCCCAACCAACCATGGGTTTAACAAGCAGAGGAAGAGGGCTGAATACCACCTTCCAAGCAACCACAGACAGACACTCCTCCGGGTGGATACGCAAGACCGGCCAAACTTCGGCAACAAAAATCCAGCCAAGCTCCTCCTTATCCTCCAAACGAAGCGTCCCATCCACCTGCAACCCCCAGGCCCAGTCCCCTCGGTGGGCTCACCCAAAGGCCCAGTCCTGGAGGCAGACTAAGACGACATCTTCAACACCAAGAGGATCCATGTTGCTTCCACGGACCTTGCAGGGCACCCACAAGGAGACTCAAGCCTCCATCTCACCTTGCGGCCACCTTCTCCAGCGACCTTCCCCCTCCGGCTTGCAGGGTGGCTGGGAGCTGCGACGCGGGGAGCAGGGGACAGGCGCTGAAATAGATCCGACTAAATTTAGACTGAGGAAAACCCAGCCAAGAAAAACAAGCACATGGTGCGGAAAGAGGAGCCCCAGAAATAGTAGCTAGCTCCGGGCAGCAGACAGGAGAGCTTGCTCCGAACTATGGCCGTGCAGAGCTACCAGGCACTGCAGAGACTTGCAAGGGGGTGCTGCTGGTCAGGCAGGTCCAGGTCAAGGTCCACCAAGTGGCCACGGCTGCTTCTGGTGGCGAACTGCCACGTTTCATGCTGCCCCCGCCCCAACAAAGTGCTGCTTCCCCCACTTACCACAAAGTGTTTAACCAAGAAACAGAGACACACTCCTCACCCTGCTCCAGACTGGTTCACAAGGCAGCAATGCTACAAAGCCAAAGTCAGGTTCATTATCCCCATTTTATAGATAGAGAAACTGAGGCATGGAGAAGGCCAAGTCACCCAGCAGAGTAGAGACAAAGCTAGGGCTAGAACCCAGGTCTCTTAAGTCCCTGTGGTCAAGCCTCTAAGCAACTACTTTCCTGGGGATTTACATGGCAGTGCATAGTGGGGAAAGACCCTATAACTTGCTCATCGAGGTCTGGTGGATATAGCACTGGATGGGGACCAGGGGATTTGCCACTACCTTGCTGTGTGACCATGGGCAAGTCCCTTTCCCCCTGACCCATCCCCTCTGGTCCATTAGGCCTGCAAGTGCTAAAGGGAAAAGGGCTTCTCCTTTGATGGGTGCAGTCCTGCAGCACCTGCCACGATGGAGTCCTGCTTTTAGCTGGGACACTTTCATGCCTCTGTCACAAAGACAGCAAGCTGCATGATGGTGGACGGCACTTTGCTGGGGCTGGTGGGGGTACTTTAGGGGTCTAAGCTAGCGATACTCAACAAGGCACCTTGGGATCGATCCTTTCAAGGGTGCTATGGGACACCACATAATATTAGCATGGCTGGGTGTGCAAACATGATTCACAAGGCAAACCCAGAGATTACAACCAGGGAGTCGTGGTGTTCAAGCATCTTGAGCAGTTATGGTCTTCCTAAGTTCTTCACAACAGAAGAGTTGATTAAATATTTTTCTGTAGTCAAAAAAGAAGGGACAACTAAGAACTGGCATTTTCTGAGGGGGGGTCTTGGGTCTAACAAGAGTGGCCTTGAGTCTAAAAACATTAAAAACCACTGGTCTAATCCAAAGGCAGTTTAGCATAGGGGCTTTGGATGTTGCCAAGAGCCTGCTGGGCTTCAAAATGAACACTTGCAATTAATGACTCATCTTGTTAATAAAGGTCTGTCTCCCTTAAGGGAGGAGAGCCAGAGCTTGCATTAAGCGCAGAAGAGAGTTTGCCATTGCCAATCTCTCCCTCATGAAAGGTACTTAGACACCAAAATGACAAGCAGCAGTCCAAACCCCTCAGACTGTGATCAACCCCGACTCCGAGCAGAGAGAAGAGGTGGAGAGGTTGTTCCCAATGCAGCTTTCTCCCAAGCACAGGGCAACAAGATGCAACCAAGCCCTGGAGAAATGGTTGTTTCATGCCTGACATTGTATCAGGGCTCAAACTCTGGACTTTACCCATTGCTTTGAAACCATTTTTGCTCTCCAAGAGGGTGGCAAGGTTTTAATAGTACATCCCCAAATCAGATCTTTAGCCCATCAGATCCACTCTTCTGCATCTAGCCCATCAGATCCACTCTTCTGGACTGTAGCTGGTACTTAATGTTTGAGAAGCATTGAGAAGCAAGGCTGGAAGGGACCTCCAGCAGTTCCCTGGGCCAAGAAGAAGAGGCAACCCTCCCCCTAGATAGTTTTTACCTCTATGGTCATGTTCTAACTCTAAGAAGGACGGCTTTTCACAGATAAAATAATGCATCCCCAAATACCCCCAAACCTCCTCTTGTAGCGTTCAAAGTGGTTCAACAGTGTCAGCAACTCTTGCTAACTGATCACACACCAGCCCATAGGTGGGTTATCAAGTCCAGCTCCTGCCCTCAAGAAGGTGATGGTGGGAAAATCTCAGCTTTCATAAACCAGGTTTCCAGAGTTGTCTGGAAAACACAGCTGAAAACGAGTCCCCTCAAAAAATCCCGAACCAGAATGCAAAGAGGTCTCTTGGAAAAGGTTTGATTAAAAAAAAAATCCATAAATTCTAAGCAGATCTCATGATTTTTCACAAGTAACAACATAAAAGACTAAACCACCAGCTCCTATCTGTTCCCCTGCCTTTGCAGACAATGCAAATCTCCAGTCCTGCCTGAAAACCAGCCTGTTTGGAGAGCAGACAGATTGCAGGCCCCCTCGTTAAACCCAAGCAAGACGGATTAATTAACAAGTCCACCTGTGAAAGAGATAAGCAGCTCTGCCAAAAGCATGCAGTGGGGTTTGCTTTGCAAAGAGCATGCCTTGAATTGCTGGAGTCTGGCTTGGCCTCAGAGAAGCAGTAAACTGCTGCTGGCAGTGTGTCTTTTCCTATCAGCTTGGGAGAGCAGAGTTACTTTTCCACTGCTAAATGCAAAGAAAGGTCTGCATCCCTGGCACTAAGCCCCCTCCTTCCATCCATCCTTCCTGCCTTCTTTCTTTCCTTCCATAAATCCGTCCATCCAGCCCCTCATGCCTTACCTGAGCCTTCCAAGGGAAAGAGAAGCAGGTGCTGGGAGAGACCACATAGCTTTAATTCCTCTACCCAGAAGCAAGTGTTACTCAGTCCCTGGAAACCATAATTCACCCAAAAGGGGCTCAGATACCATAGACTCAATAAAATTGCAGCTCCTGCTTTTTAGGGTGGCATCAAGACCTGACCCTTCCTTGTGAACTGCAAGAGCCTTCTCTGCAGCTCCCATCAGGCTCCCCACTCCTCCCCCCTCTATCTGCCCCTCTCCTGAGTCCCAAGGGCATCGTGTCATGGCCTCGGGGTTGTTTTTTCCCATGAGAATCCACCCCGGCCAGGGCTTGGGCTGCAGGGGATGGGCACCATCTGTTGGAAACCAGCTGCCAGCTGTGCCAGGGCACGGATGCCCCACGTGTGAATCAGTTACAGGGAGGGCAGGAGTGGGGGCAGCTGGAAATTCTTCCCAGAGCAGCAGAAGGTCCCATCCGGGCCCCACAAAGAGGTTTGGATAGGGACCTATTCAGTCCTTTCAAACAGGCCCCCTTATAGGAACCCCTGACTTTAACCTCTTAACCACTGCTCTTCTGCAGCAGGTCCCCCCCCCCCCAGCCATCACATGGGTCATGCAGAGCCATCACGCAGGTCACAGAGCGAATTTGCCAGCTCCCATAATCAGGAATGTGCTGCCAGGCCCACAAGGCCGTCTGGAGCCTTAACAAGGGGACTCACAGCAGATGTAACCGGGCGGCAGGTGGGATGCATGCGTTCAGCGCACAGAGGCTGGGAATTTTGCAGGCTGGAGTTGGCAGGACACAGCAGAGCTGCAGTGTGGAAGGAGGAGGAGGAAGCGGAGAAGACAGCTGTGCTGGCACAACCTCCCGCCCCTCTGGATCCATTCGGAGTCTGGGTTCAAAGGACCTGGGATCATCTCTGCTTCCTGGCCCTGCCTAGAAATGCCACAGCTCCAGCACTGCTGTGTCACCCCGGCCACAGGCCAGTAGGGCAGAGGGAGACCTTAAAAAAGAGGTGATAGGGAAGAGGGAGAAAAAGATCCAGACAGTCCTGGAGGTTTGGTTGGATCCCAAACAGATACATCCCCTTCCCTTCTCCATGCCAGACTAGTACCAAACCCCAAGTGGAGGAGTCCTGCTCTAATTAAAGCTCAGCTGATTAATCCTCTCTTGCCAGAGCCATGATGTGGATGGGGTAACAGCAACTCTCCAAAGGCAGATGAGATGCCAGGGTTCTGGTTTAGTGATGACTCATCCTATGAGGACACCTCTGAGGCACTGGTACATGAGTCTCAGCCCCAGATTGTGCCTGGGGGATGATGCAGGGCATTCAGCCAGGCCTGGACCACACTGACCACGGTCCAGGTTTTACCAAAGGTGCAGCTTTATGGCTGCTTAGTTGATTTGGTGCAACACTGTGCACGGACACAGGTAGGGCTTCAAGGTCCATCTCATCTGACTCGCCCACCCAAGACAGGATCATCCCTGTCCACACCCTCCCAGGCAGTTTGTCCAACCTCCCCGGCAATTACACCAGCCCTAATTCAACTAAAGCGATTTGATCTAAATCTCTGTGCAGACAGGCTCGGCCTGCCTTGCTCATTCCCCTAGGAAACCCTCCACCATCCTGCAAGAAGATGCTCAAGAGAGGATGAGGACCGGAGCAGTGGACATGGGGATGGAAGTCCATGGGCTGAGCCATGCAGGGTGCTAGGACTGGGATAGTCAGGACTGATGGGGAAGCCAGGATTGATGCAGTCCAAGGACAGAGGCAAAGCTCCCAGAGCCGGGTGGAACAGCAGCAAGGGGACCTGCAGTGGCAGCTCCAGACTGTGATGCACTAGCAGAGGCTGGAGGAAAGCTGGCATAGCAAACCCCAACTGCTCGCCCTCTGAAGAGAAAGCCCAAAGGAGCCAGTGCTCATGCTTACCTTGGTGAACCTCAGCCCTGCCATTTGTGCCGCTCTGGTCCCGACTTCCCAGTCTCACCTGCCAGCTAGAAGCATTGGTGGAAGGAGACAGGAGAAAAAAAAAAGGGAACCGAGTCTGCTAACGCCGGGGGACTGGCTTTGGTGCGAGCCGAAAACAGCTGAACTTTACGACAACCTGATCCGTCCCTGGGAGCCCAACAGAAGCTCTAAGTTACCACTTTAAAAATAGCCAGCAGTATTTTTGATCCCTAAAGCAGGATTCCAGGGGGGGAGGCTGGAGACTCCAGAGGGCCGAGGACGTTCTGGTTTACACCCGCTTTCTTGTCTGAAGACTTAGAGACCCCCCAGGTGATGTTGGCGAGACCTCGTCAGGATCTGACAGCCCTGCTCACACCTGACTGCACTGGACCGCTCCTTGCTATCTTCTTAGGGCGATGGATTTGGGGCTCTTCATGCCCCGGGGCTGAGTTTCTGCAGCCGAGAGGATGATCAGTCTTTAAACCAACTCAGTGGATCTACGAAAAGCAGCCAAACCGGGAAGGGCTTGGGCAGAATCCGGGTTTCAACAACTCCCAGCGCTGGTTTTGGCACAGGAAGGATCAAGATATATGTTGCCACAACAGGTCTTGTGCCCAGTGACCTGTGTCTTGTCTTGCTTCTTGGAGGGTCCACCTGGGTGGACATGGAGGGCAGCTCCGGGTACCTCTAGAGTGCACAAACCCCCTTGGAGAAGCTGGGGTGCTTTCTCTTCTACATCAGAAGCTGCAGGGGCTTCAGGGGATGGCGTCAGTGGTTCAGGAAGCTGCGGGCTCCCCCATCCCAGTTCTGCAACGGGAAGTTCTGGAGAACATCAGGACACCTCTGCGTCTCACTGCCTCCTCCGCCTTCCTTCAATCCTCCCAGCCCAGGCACCCATCTGGAGTGGAAAAGAGGGTGTTAGGAGTGTAGACACAAGAGACCCAGACTCCCCTTTGCATTTCCACTCCAGATCTGGGGCAAGCTGAAATTCTCTGCGCTGCATCCCTGGGGACAGCAGATGCGGGAAGCTGTTAATCCAGCTGTCCAATTGCTCCCCACCCACAACCCGCTTCTACATGAGGGTGAGGGGCAGATTTTCACACGAAAGCTCCCGAAAGGCCAGAGTACAGATAAATCAACAGACAGAAGCACCTGCTCCGGGGCGAGCAACTGTTCCTGTGCTTGGGCTGGGCTGTTCCATGTGTTTAAAACATAACCCAGGGTGGGAGGCAGGGGTGGGGGGAAATGCAAGTCAAGGGAGTGGAAATGGCTAAATAAAGCCTGAAACAGTTGTAGGGGAGCCAAACAGCTTGGGCTGTCGTACACCGCCCCGGTGGGAGAGCTGGGAGCTGCGATGCAGCTGGAAAGCAGGGTCACATCCTGCAACTGCACTGAGGGGACTGGCCCCCAAGCTAGAGAGGGGTCTTGGCAGGCCTGGAAATCATCTGGCCCCTCTGTTCGGAGCAGCCTGACCCCCGGAGCCGGGAATGCCTGGCGCTCTGGGGCCTGTCCAGAGGGCACCATTGCAATCGTGCAAAGGGGGCATAAATTGCCCCCCTTCCTGTGGCTTTTTACAACATGCCAAGCACACAAAAGGGCCATGCCCTGCACTGGGCCCAGCTGTTGGCAATGGTTGGAAAGCCACACCCATGGACTCCTGTTGCAGGGGGGACAATTTGGGGGCTCTTCACACTCCCTGGCTCAGCCACAGCTGGAACCATCCCCCTTCCCACGCTGAGGCCTTCGCTAGGAATTTTCCTCCCTGCTTTCTCCCCCCATCCCGGCGGGCAGCACAGCTGGAAATAGGGAAGGTGCCATCCCTCCACAGGCTGGAATATCACAGGGTCCTCGGGTGGACGTGGGGCAACCCGCCCCCAATGGGACCTGGGTGCATGGGGGACCTGCCGGGACCTTCCACCTGGAGAAGCCAGGAGTCTGCCACCTGGGTTGGGGAAGCCAGTAGCCGCGTGCCATGCGTGCGCACCCCCACGAGGTGGCAGCAGCACTCAAAAAGTGGAGCCAGAAGCTTGGCAAGACCCCCCAGCACCCGGACCCCTAGGTCAGACACGGTCCCAGGGGGTGCTGCTTGGACCAGCTGCACCTCTGCAGGCAGAGCATGGGATGCCTGGTGTCTCCACGTTG